GATAAGCAACTTGCCCAAGGTCACAGGTAGTAAATGGTGGAGCTGGAATTTAAACCTGGAACTTCCAAACAGAGTTGTGGACAAGGTGCAGAGTCTGTATCCTTCTTTAGACTGAGGTGTTTAGTAAGGTGAAAGCCGCCTCTGTTGTGGGCTGGATGTAGCCCTAACCAGCATCATGATGTTAGCTGACTCCATTTTGATCCTATTAGCATGTTCAGATATGAGGACGCCCTCCGAGGGGCAAGGATGGGGAGTTAGGGAAAGAGGGAGAGAGAGAGAGAGAGAGAAATGAAAGCTCTCCTTGGGAGGAGTGCATCCATCAATACCAACGGGCGGAGATTAGGGGCCCAGGAAGAAGGAATGGTATGGCTCCCTGTGTAAGGGTGTGGACAAGGATTATAAGAACAATGATACACTAATTCCTATTTAATGCTTTCCTATTTAGCCTTGTAATTTGTCCCCCACCTCCACTGAAGCTTAGCAAACCACACGAGCTCTCTGTTAGCTGGTCTTTGATGAAAAAAAGGAGTGGCAAGTTGTCCCATGTGTGGGGTTTGGGGCACTGAGGAGAGAGAGAGAGAGAGAGAGAGAAGCACAGGGAAGGAACAATGAAATAGGCAAAGGTGACTGAGGGAGCGGCCTGGGGCAGCAGTCACGCATGAAGTGTGCAAAACAAAACCCAGGGCTCGCTGAGGATCAGAAATAATTGCAGGAGGGTCAGATTTCCTACGGTCTTGCAGAATGGGGCGTGGATTTATATTTGAATATTATAGGGAAGCTCAGTCCTATATGTCTTAAAAACTGGAGGGGCTGGAGGGAGTAGGTCATTGGGGTGTGCCTGGGGGTTTATATTTCGTCATGGTAAGGGGAGCTCTCTCTGCTTCCTGGTGCCATGTTCCCAGTTGCTTCCCTCTGCCACACCCTTCTGCCGGGATGTTCTGCCTCACCTTGAGCCCTGAGGAATGGAGCCAGCTGTCTATGGACTGAGACCTCTGAAACCATGAGTCCCCAAATAAACTTTTCCTCCTTTAAAATTGTTCTTGGTCAGGTCCTTTGGTCACAGCAGTGAAAAAGCTGACTAAAAAACAGTTCATACATAATTTCCTATTTTAGACATCTAGGATATTTTTGAAATTTGCCCATATAAATAATAATGTGAGACAAGGATGCCTCTTGTTGTCATTTCCTGGATATCTTCAAAGTACAACATGATATAAAAATGAGAACGTAATTGCAAAAAAGAGAAATAATCTCTTTTTGGGGGGGTAAACACTGATTGTCATATAAGATTCAAGAGAAATGAGAAACAATGTATTAGAGAGTATTAAAAGAGTATGAAGAGAGTCTAGCAGAATGGCTGGGTCCAAGGTTAACATAAAGAAATGGGTGGCATTCTTGTACACCAGCAGTACTAATTAGAAACTATGACCCATAAATTTTAATGTGGTCATAATTCCAACAAGCATTTCAGGGAAACTTTACAAGCTTATCCTAAAATTTAAATGAAAGAGTAAAAGTCGAAGCATAGCAGAGACAATTTTGAGAAAGGAAGGAAAGTTGCCCGTCTAGATACTAAGATTTAATGTGAGGATACAGTCATGAAAATGCTGTGTAATGAGACAGGGATAGGCAAATATAACAATGGAGTAGAATAAATTCCCAGACACAGACCCTCTGCTATATGCAAATGAGTCTCTTAGAGAAGTGATGTTACAAGGTTGAATTTTTACTAAGTGGTTCTGGGAAAATTGACTGCTGTGGTTTAGACAAGTTTCCCTCAAAGATCCACATGTTAAAAGCTTGGTTGCCAGCTTGTGCTGCTTTGGGGTGGGTGGGACATTTAAGAGATGGGGCAAAGAAATTGGGTGAGTGGGGCTGTGCCCTTGAGGGGGATATTGGGACCCTAACCCCTTCCCATCCCTTTTTAAATTTACTTTCCAGCTACCATGGGGTGGATAGCTTCCTCTGTCACCTGCTCCCACCGTGATGTAGTGCCTTAACATAGGCCTGAAAGCAATGGACCTAACGGACCATGAACTGAAATCCAAAACTGTGAGCCCAAATAAACCTTTCTTGAGTTGATCCTCAGGTATTTTGTCACAGTGACAGAAAGCTAGCCTATTGACTATCCAAAGGGGAAAGACTTTAGATTCTCAATTTACTTCATAGAGATCCAAATGTGAGCCAGACACAATGCTACACACCTGTAATTTCAGGAGGCAGGAGTCTAGCAAGTTTAAGGCCAGTCTTGGCAACTTAGTGAGGCCCCGTCTTAAAATAAAAAGTAAAAAGGTCTGGAGGTATAGGTCGATTGTGAAGTGACCAGGGTTCAATTCTCAGCACCAAAAAGAAAAAAGAAAAATATCCAAAGGTGACATTCAAACTTTTAAACATTTTAAAGGTTATGTAGCAGAATGCCTGTAAGGATTTGGAGTAGGAGGGACTTCTTAAACCAGATGTGGGGAGGGTTTGGAGGTGGGTGTGTGTTGGGGCAGAGGTCAGTGGGTTCTGGCCTCAGCTGTTCTGGCCCAGCAAGACTATGCCACAAGAAAAGCTCTATTCTCTTTCCAGGTTGAGAGAACCAAACCTCATAAGGAAAAAATGGGGCACTAAATCCATTTGAGTATTAATTTGTAAATGTACATTTACCATGAAAGAAGTGTTCTAGTATCCGAGTGTTATTGTTTGGATGTGATGTGTCCTCCATGTGTGAGACAATGCAAGGTTTAGAGTAGACATGATCAAGCTATGAGAACCTTTATCCAATCAGTGAATTAATCTCTGATGGAATTAACTGAGTGGTGATGAAGGTGGGTAGGGTGTGGCTGGAGTACATGGTCATTGGGGGCATGCCTTTGGGGCATATATTTTGTATTTGGTGACTGGAGGTCTCGCTCTGCTCTCTGATCACCATGTGAATTGCTTCCCTCCACCACACTCTTCCACCATGATGTTTTGCCTCACCTTGAGCCCCAGGGAATGAAGCTGGCCTTCTATGGAGTGAGACTTCTGAAACTGTGAGCCTCAAAATAAACTTTTCCTCTACTATTGTTCTGGTTTTCTTTTAGTTATAGCAGCAAAAACATTGACTAAAACACTAAGTGCAAATGAAATTCTATCAAACTCCAGCTATGCTTGGTGGCCAAGCTAGATGGTCTCTCTCACATGAGGTCCCAGACACTGGGGACCAGGAACAATGAATAGGAACTTATCATGACCGATCCTAATTGGAGATGGTGAACTACACAATTACATGAAATCTTATACTCATCCAGGGTAAGTCACTTATCCCTCTTACATCAGTTTCTCACCTATAAAATAAGGAGGCACACAGCAATCTTCTCAGATGCCAGAAAAGCTACTTTATAAATAAAACAATGTTTTCAAGAGTGCATTTGATAAAATAATGTTAAGTAAATTTAGGAAAGATTCTAGTTTTTTTTTTTTTTTTTCCATTTCCACGCTTTTCTGTCCTTTTGAGTCACTCAGAAGCAAGAATGAAATTATTATGAGAGAGAGTATATTTGGGAAAAAAACTGAATATGGATGCTTACAAAACAGCAGCCTTTGATGACATGCACAAAAATGTCACCCAAAAGTGTTATGAATCGTAGCAATACCAACCACTGATCAGTGTTTCTTTTAGTTCCTTTCTCTTAGCGACTCAACACACTCTGAAAATGCAAATATTTGGCATAGCCATTTGTTGATTTATTTGTCAAATGGAATGACTCACAGTAGAGCAAATTAGCAGAAAGGCAAAGCGAAATCCTGAGAACAAAATTGGACTTGTAAATATATATTTTTGAGACTCACAATTTTGGATGGCACCATGTTGGGAAATGTTTTGAATTGTCAACATTTAAAAACTGGAGATTTCACAGGAAAACAAACGGATGTAGTCAAGTATCTGTTCTTTCAGACCCAATTGTTCTTTTGCAGTTTGCCAGGGTCCACCTTACTCTCTATTGTCCTCTTTGGTTCTCAGTGACAAAGCCTCTCTGTCATTTGGGTTTGTAACCCATCTAGTTACTCTAGCTTGTAAGCTGTGTCTTAGATAATACCCAAGGATGGAGGAGGGAGCCTTGGTGGTCTAGATTAGGACTCTAAAATGGAGTTCTTAGGCTAGGAAAAAGTGGATGGAAAGATAGTTCAATATATCTGAGATAAAATGTTTTTCTTTGAATAAAGATATTCTTTATGGACCTCATTGAGCAACAGTCTTTTCTTTGTTTTGAAATGCATTCGAGCTGAATGGATTTTCATTTCAATGACAATGGATGTATTAAGTTACTCTGGTAACTACTAAAACTCTCCTACTAAAGGGAAAGCACACATTTTTTCCATGGGAACACCAGCAACGACTAACTGCTCATCGAATATTGCAAAAAGAAGCGGAATATGACCTGTGGTAACAATCAGAAAATAACATCTTAAAACAATTGAAAACGTCAGGAGATCTGTCTGCTTGCTATTGCTACTTCCCACAAATGAACAGAACACAAGGCAAAGTGCACGGGTGCACTGGAGTTGACAGTACAGCAGGATGTCCATATCACACATATTCCCTGCTTTATAGTCCTTGGGTGACTGAGATAAAGGTCCTTAGTGAAATGCATTGCTTGTATACGGTGTGGTGGTGGGGTGCTGGGGCAATGCTGCGATGGTTATATACAAGGACTCCAAAGTGCTGCCTTGTTTTCTTCTAGCCAGAGCTGAAAGCAGACTGTCATTTGTTTTTTTCCTGACAACTCTCATGGGCATCTGATGGTCTCTCCTGGTGTCACATCGCAAGAAGTTCAAATCCTTTCCCCAAATACCATTCCTCTGTGACCCCAAGAACCAGTCGGTAAGTTTGATTTGCCTTAAATAGTTGACCTCAACTATGCATCTTTGCCATCATCGGACCAACTGAACCACAATCCACAGAGCTGGATTCTCTCTTCCCCAGGTAAGAAAACCCACCCCACACCTCCAAAAATAATGCATGAAATACAAGGTTGATTTGAGTATTTTATTTATAAATGTACATTTACTATAAAAGCTGTTGCATTTTAGACAACTTTTTATTTTTATTTTTTTACTATTTTTCAGAGGCATTTTAGAATAAATATTGTAAATGAAAGTTAGTGTAACCGATGTAGAACGCTGGCCCACCCAGAACAGTAACATCTTTTGGACGGACTCACATGAGGTGGATCATTCAGTTCATTAAATCTTACACTGCGTATAGATAACTAGCATATGTATTGCATTAATAACACTACATAGAAAGAATGAGAAAAATGTCATGAAAGTTTGCTAGTGAAAAACAAAGAGTTACCCATTTGTTTTTCCTTAGGAAAGAGGAGGGACTAGCTTCTGGAGTATGAGCAAAAAACATAAAATAAAATCAGATCTACTTCCTCAGGAACAATAAATCACTCACTTGCCTCATCGGTTTTTTTAAACAAACACATTTACATTATAGCTCAACAGCGCAGGGCATTTTGTTTTCCTGGGATCTCAAAGATTATTTGAAAAGAAATAGATCATACTCATCTTACTGCATTGGAAAAACAAGATCTAGTCTGCCTAAGCTGCCATGTAACCGACTCCAAATGAAATATAAATCAAATAGAAATAGAAACAGTTGGCAATTAGAATTTAGAAAATGTTGGAGATTATTCTGTGCTGGTGACTAGTGTTCATTATGGGAAAGCACATTTTGCAGTTGGAGAATGGGGCTTTATTTTTCTTGACTCAATTCTAGCTTCAATACATGTACAATGAGTCTCACTAAGAAATATTTATAAATGGGTCTGTGAAACCAGAAGAGAATGTGCAATATTCATATAATCCTCACATAATGGATGGAGTTCCGCATGTAAAAAGTATTCTATAAAAATCGGTTATGAATGACCATATTGTACATGTTTTGTGCATAAAGTACTCTGCTAATATCATGCAAAGTGTAAACATCCACATTATCAAAATATTTAATAAAACATGCAGGTGGTTAATCAAAATATTGGACTTAATATGTACATTTTCAAAACTTTTTTCTTTTAAATTTTTCCTTATTTTCTTTTTAACTTTTTTTTTTTTCCTGTAAAACAGCAAACACCTCCATGAGAAGTCATGGGAACTTGGAAGTGACTTCATCTCTCTTTGACATACTGCATCCATAATTCATCGCTGACCATGTGCAACAGCTTTGCATTTTCTAAGGCACAATTTTTAATGAAATGATGTGGAGATTTCAATCCAATAACAGCTCGTCCAAATGACAACGTGGTCAAAATACCACCAGTGGCTGAGGAAATTTCTGCACCTACATGGAACCCACATGCAAAGAACTGTCTAGCGTGGAAATAAATAATTGCTAGCCATACTCTATAAAACACAGGAAAAAATTATTGCTTACATAACGAAAAATCTACTTGACCTCTTTTTATGACTACATTAACCTATTGGGAGTGTTTCCATATCCTATATTCATGAGAGGTCATCTTCACTTATTTGCCATCATTTTAAGGCAGAATAAATAGTCCCTCTTTCCCCAGTCTTAGAGAAAACAGCCTGGAGATCTAAGTTTTGATGGTTTTTAGTCACTTGATTCCTTTATTGTCCAGCTGAAACTTATCACACAGGCCAGAGAATAAGCCAGGTCTCCACAAGAGTTTCTTTCTGAACTCCATGAGCAAGGTCCAGAATCTTGATAGTAAAGAAGGTGATGTAGGAGAACAATGGAGCTCAGATGTCCACTGGATTGGGCAGGACACAATCTGAGCTGTAGGTTCTTGCTGATCACATACCAGTGGCTTATCACAACCTATATCATGTGGATTCCATTGGAGTGGACTTATTTAATGCTTTTCTTTGGATACCTGTGTATCATGCCCTCAAGGAGAACTTGCAGGTAGGGTGAGCAGTGATCACACCCAATGATGGCCTCATCTCCATGCCTCGTATTAAGCCTTTTATTGAAGACTCCAGATCTAGAGTATGGGAAGAAGCAAGCAACCCAGGCCTCATGCTATCATGGCCCCACCACTCTTTTCAAGATTAAACTTCCTCATAGATTTTGGTAATAAGTTTGGAAATGATGACTGAAATATCTCCCTCTAGTTTCTTCCTACCCTTTGGCAATGTCCTAGAGTTTAAGTCTAGCTGATATTGCAAAGGTTCTCTTTATTTTGATGGACCAGCCTATATTAATGATGTAACTTCCAAGATACACAAAATCTAATACTAACAGTGCAATAATTTATTGGTTTTACTTCTATCCCAAAAGATAAGTAACACAAATGTTTTCAGGATTACAGTATATATTATCAGACTAGTGTCTTTGCATTAAAAACAAGTTATAGCTCAGAGACAGCTCACTGTGATGCTTAGTTTTTCTGAAATGCATTAAATTTATGCTCCTGTCTTTAGAACACCACATGTCTCAAATTGGCATGTCTTGCACTTTCTGCAGCTCAATTTTGTAAACATAAAGTGTTTAATTTCTAGAAATACTAAAACATAACAGGTTTATTGCAACCTTTAGTTATTTCCCAAAGAAGAGAATAACATTTTAAACCGCAAGCCTGTTTGGCCATGCTAAAACCATTTTTTGAACTATTCAGGATCATTACAATTCAATATTCTTTTGTATATTGCAAAATAACATGGAGTCGGGGGAAACCTCACAAAAACAACAACAGAAAACCAGGAAAAACACAAATACTGTGCTATAAAAAAACAGAAACAATCTTTTAGAAGAGCCTTTCAGAAATTAGATGAATGTTGAGAAGCCCCTGAACTTGGGGGTTTGTTATGCAATTGCCAGGGGACACCCTCAATCAAGAACAGTGAGTGATCTGGAAGCTTGAAAACCACGTCACAATGTCGTAGGCTGGCCAGCACCTGTGAGAAAAGCAAACAGACCAGACTTGGTGCATCAACATTTATTGCTTCAAATATTTTAAAACTGCACACAGTAGCAATTACCTTTGCCAAAGTCTTTTCCCAATGTACCACGCTGCTGCTAAAGCACGGTCTAAGGACACGTGGTACACCTGGAGGTTTGTGAGCAATGCAGATCCATGCTAGCATTTCAGACCCACTGAGCAAGATGGTACAAACCCACTGAAGTTTAGCTCAGCTTCTCCGGATTTCCCCTAAACCAAATAAGCTTTCTATTTTGTCTTCTGCAGCAAATAAGCAAGAAAATATTTTTTTCTCAGTTTCTTTAGGTTTTGGTTTAAGAATATTTAAAAGGGAGGAATTTGACACATACATATGATCTAGAAATAGGATTTCTAGACCCAGCAAGCAAAAATACAGAACACTCAGTGAAATTTCAGGTAAATAGAACATACTTATTTTAGGACAAGTATATCCCATGTGGTATTTGGAACATATTTGTGCTAAATCCAGAGCAGGCAATATTTAGCAATTTTTTTTATAGTTTGTGTAGTACTATAGTAAAATACATGGTTTATCTGAAATTCAAATTCAAAAAGTTAATTGGGTATCTTGTATTTTATTTGGCATCCCTACCAGGAAAGGATTAAGTTCCTTGTACTGAGGCAACCACAGCATTGGAAAAGACCCCAGTGGTTTGCATTAAATACATTTCTGGAGAGTGAGTGATGGAATAGAACCCATGTTCGAAGACACAGGCACCCGACACCCAAGCACAAATGGCACAAGTTAAACACGTGACAGCTTGAATTGTGACAGGTAATTTGTTTTGCACTTCCATTCCCATTTACATATGAACTTAAAAACTGTTTACATTGCTTTTAGGAATTGCATTTTAATATGCTGTTATGCTATTTTTCCCTCCAAGAGAAAAATTTCATTTAAATGTGACTCGTTTACTTGGAGAAAATAGGATTATATATTCAGGTCTTATTATTTCACCAAAAGAAATTATTTTGTTTCACTTGGAATGCCTATGATGTCAACCACCCTTCACCTCAATCCATCTCCCCTCTTCTCAGCTCAGATCAAAGGAAAACAGAAAAAGAAAGAAAAATGATTTTTTAGCCATTTCTTCCTATTCTGACTCTTTTATTGCATTTGGGAGATATTCAGCCAATTCAAGTGTATTTATGCTTCTCCAGTCAAGTTATTATCTCTTCCACCTAGTCATAAATATAAATAAATATATTTTTTAGGACACCAAGAAAAAAAAATAAAGAACAGTATTCTCATATGCCGGTCATTCTCCTATCATGTGTTGACTTAATTAAAATTAGCCTAAAATGATGCTAATGTTTATCTGGAAAAATAAACATAGAGGGAGTTAGGAAAATTTTGGGAAAATAATTGGAGAGACTGTGGCCATTATGACCCAATATTAAAACATATTATGAAGCTTCAGTAATTAAAACCATCCAGTAATGGAGAATAAATAGGTTAACAAAACAAAATATCTAGAAACAGACTTAAATATATATGGGGATTAAGTTTATGAGAAAGTTAGCATTTCAAATTAGTGAGAATAAGAGGAATTATTCATTAAATGATATTCACAAAAACTGAGAAAAAAATGAGGCTGGATATCTAGCTAATTTTTTATTCCAAAATAATTCTTGATAATCTCATCTTTATACATGCAAAAAAACTAAAACCAAAAAATTCTAGGAGAAATCTCAGCTAAGTTCATTGATACCTTTTGAATAGAAAGCATTTTTTAAAAGGAGTACACAAAACCCAGAATCCAAAAAGGAAATAAAAATTTAAATTACCTAAAGTGAAAATCTTTTGTCTGAAAATAAAACATGAGATGCAAAAAACAATCCTAACTACAATGTGCCGCAAACATAGCAAAGGGAAAATGTCCCTTAATCCACAGAGAACTCAATCAGGTATGAATAGAAAAATACACAGAGGAGAAGTAACTCAGACCCTGAGGTGCAGCTCAGTGGTACAGTACTTGCCTAGTAGGTGCAAGGCCCTGAGTTCACTTCCCAGTACCCAAAAGAAGATCAAAGAGAGAGAGAAAGAGAGAGAGAAAGAATATCTAAGTTGTGATTAAACACATGAGAAGATGTTCATGTTCATAAAATTATATAGATCCAGAGCAATGAGGTTTCTCTGTAGCTAGTAGAAAAAAAAAAACACTTTTCTTCCCTTCTTTTTTTGCAGGGCTGAGCATAGAACCCAGGGCCTATGCATGCTAGGCAAATGCTCTACCACTGGACTATGCCTTAGCTAGAGTAGATTTTTTTTTTTTTGGTACTGGGGATTCAGTCCAGGCAGAGCTTTGCTATTAAGCCACATCCCTAACCGCTCTTTATTTTATTTTGAGACAGGGTTCTCTAAGTTGCCCAGGTAGGTCTTATTATCCTCCCACCCTCCTGGGATTACAGGCATGTGCCACTGCACCCAAAGAAGAGATTTTTTTTTTTTAAACATATGGCTATATCTAGAACTGCTATCTCGCTGAGCCACAACCCCAGAAAGGGATCACTGATAATTTGGGGAGGGGAGACGGTGTACTTTCTAAACAATGGTTAGGCAAGATATCTGAAAATTTAAAAAGCACATGCACATGTCTTTTAACTCAGCTTTGCTACTGCTCAGAACCTATCTTGGAGATGCTTTCAAATGTTCATCAAGATATAGACAAGAGGGCAGGGGTTTTGACTCAGTGGTGGAGTGCTTGCCTAGCATGCACAAGGCACTGGGTTTGATCCTCAGCACCACATAAATATAAAATAAAGATATTGTGTCCACCTAAAACTAAAAAGTAAATACTTAAAAAAGAGATATAGACAAGAATGTTCCCTGGAACATTTAAAAATAATACTAAAACCCAAAAACAATCAGTATCCATTCCTGGACAATTGGTGTTAAATGATAGTAAGTCCATACAATAGAATTGTAGACAGCTACTAAAAAGCCATGAAAAAGAATGAGGAGAATGAGCATGGTAAATGGAAAAATTGCTAAGATATATCAAATTAAAAACAACAGTGGGGCTGGGGTTGTGGCTCAGCACTCGCCTAGCACATGTGAGGCACTGGGTTTGATCCTCAGCACCACATAAAAATAAATAAATAACAGAGGTATTGTGTCCATTTACAACTAAAAAAAAAGTTTAAAAAGTAACAAAATCTAAGCACAGAATAGCATGACTTTATGATTGTCATATTTGTGAAATAAAACCCAAGACATATCCAGGCATCTCCATCATGCAGGTATGTATCTCCAGGTGTGCAGGTGTGTGTAAACATACATGAACATCCATTCTGCCCCTTCCCCCAAGAAATTATTAGGAAGCAATAACTTTGAAGATTTTTGCTTTTAATTTGGTATGTTTCTAAACAATTAATTTTTTCAATCATATCATTTATAACTTCCATTTATTTATTTACTCATGCTTTTCAATATTGATAGAGGTATCTAGGCAGAGAGATAATGGGGCCTTTTGCTTTCTTCTTTGGTATTTCTTAGAATTCTAAAAAAACCCTAGCAAAGGATTACTAGGATTATTTTACCTTTATATAAGGATATAAAACAAACAAGGAAAAAAATATAGCCACAGTCTACCTCCAAATTGCTTTCTTATTTTTCATCTTGTTGCAGGAACTCCATGGTACTTTAGATTTGGAATTAAAGATTGTTAATGCCCTTTATATCTGTATACGTAAGAGAAAAATTCCTGGCCTAGATCCAACAAGCTAATTTCCAAAATAAATGACAATGAATCACCCAACTTTTCAATTAAAAAAAAATCTGGATGGAAACAGGTCACTGTCACCCAGAGGTGGGCTCAGGATTGTTCTCTGTTGGCATTCTCCAAGCACTCTAAATGATGAAAGAAATTCAGAGCTACAGCACTTTCCAAATCTTCCTGCACATCCTGCAACCTAACACTGCCCTCTTCTGGTTCTGTGATTCACATGCAGCTCCCTCACTGAGGTTGAGAGAAGTATAATTTATAGGGGATGATAGAAAAAAATCACTGTGAAACCTGCAAAAAAGGGCTTAGTTTTTCTTTCTAGTGTAGCAAAACCAAACAAATAAAAACTCAGGTTAAAGAATATGTCTATAATTATTATACATTATATACATGTTTATGTATTTGTGTGTATATATGTTTATGATCTATATGGTATACTATTTACCCCATATTCTAATATATATATATACACATAAAATATATATATTGGTATAAAACTATTGTCATATATTTCACACAGGGTATAAATAGTCCTGTTTAAAGGCTCTATGTTAGAACTGTTTTGACTTCAAGTCAAAGATTTATCATACATTGAAACCACCTGGGTTTGATTGGCTTTTTATTTTCTACCATTTTACTAATAGGTAGATATTTCTTTGAGTTTTATAAGTTTATAGCTATAAAACAGCTTAATTTCAATCTTTATTTCTAAAGTCTTCAGTCTTGCAGATAGAGACCCATGTAAAAAGATGATAAAAAAGGTTACTTCATTTGAGAAAGAATAAAGCATTCCTGAATTTCAAACTCCATTTTTTTCACTCTAGTGTTTTGAGTCTTTTCTGCCTGAAGAAGTTACATTCAAAGGTCGTCTGTTGTGTACTAGAGACAGAGGAAACAGAGACAAGCCACTGGTTATAGTCAGATCTTCTGAACAGCAGCTGGGCAACAGCACCCCCTGGTGTCTTGCAAGGGAACATGAACCTTTCCCATTAGACCCTTGTAAGAGATAGAAAGGCCAGCTGCTCTGGGAAGCTCCAGGGCAGCAATTATTTGTTAAGATCTTATACTTTACTAAGCTATGGAGAGTTGGAGGATGGGATGTGGAGGATTCAAAGAGAATAACCACATATTATGTAATGAAACTCCTGAGTGTAGGGTATAGCCACACTGAGGAATTGGAGTTTGCTTTGATAAATGGTGGAGACTCAGCCTTCACATTTAATCAACTCCAAATGGCACTGGTCTTTGAAAAATATGCCTGGACAAAGTGTTCCAGACCTCCTGTCTTCCTTCTAGCTCACTGAAATCCCCATGGTGGGCTCAGGCAATATCTCAAGCCTTGCCTACAGTTTTTATCTGCTGTTACATTCATATACCAGAATATAAATGATAAACTATAAACCAGATGAAAATGGTATTTTCACATTAGCAGTAACTTCAGTAAGAAACAAGTCACTGTCACCCTTGTTCTCTGTTGGCATTCTCCAAGCACTCTAAATGGTGAAAGAAATTCAGAGCTACAGCACTTTCCAAATCTTAAATAAGAGGTTATTTCATTATCATTTCTTTTATCTCAGTCCTAAGAATCCTTTCTCTTGGGTTTGGAGTGTCAACTGATGAGGAAAACCATATGAACTCCTAAGAATGGACCCTATGAAAGCCAGGTGATTACACCTGCTCATCCCGAGTACTCTCCCAGCACTTACTTCTGGATCGCAGGTAACAATCATTACAGTTCAGAAGACCATTTCGAATCCTAACATCTGTCCCGCTCACTGCATCTCCAAGCTGTCCTTTACAAATTCCACACTAGAGGAGAAAAGATCAGATATTATAAGATGCATAAGAAGTTCTTTATCATGCTTACTGTTTACATGAACAGTACATAATCACTTCTCCAATGTTGACATTTTTTTCTTTGTGTCATACTGGAGATTGAAACCAGGGGTGCTTTACTACTGAACTACATCCCAACCCTTTTTATTTTTTATTTTGAGACAAGGTCTTACTAAGTTGGTGAGTCTGGCCTTGCGATCTTCCTGCCTCAGACTCTTTAGTAGCTTGGATTACAGGTGTGTATCACCACATCTGGCTTACGACCTTGACATTTGCTGAATATCATTTAAGTATTAGACACTGCACTGGTAGTCAATGTATAGCAAAAAGAAAATATATATTTTCAGGATTTCATCCTAACTCTTACTTATTTTACAGAGAAAGACATTGATTCAGAGAAGGTAGTTGATTTGTTCCAAGGTTGTGAAGCTGGTGTAGTTATCTCATGGACTTCAAAGTCTATCCTTTAAACCTTTGCGATATAGTATTTCTCAATCAAGATGAGAAATTTTCAACAGATTGACCCTTGGTGGTTTTGAATAAATACACGGTCAGTGCATTATCAATTAAAAGTTGTCTATCAATAGCCTTCAAAGGCTTTGCAGCATTATTAGTATCATCAGATCAGAATTATTAGGAAATAGCCATTCCATTTTGTATTTCTACATCAAAGATAATGATACCCAGAGGAACAAATCTACTGGGATGGAACTCCTTTCAGCCAATCAGCCTGACCGCAGAAGGAGACTCTGGAGATACTCTGCTGTTTGTACCAGACAAAGTGGCATTGGGGATTGGTCCAGGCTCCAGCTCTTGATTCAGGTTCTAAGGTCACCTGGAGCAGAGGGGACTTCATACAGTTACAAGCTGTACCTACATTGTGTTTTGTCTTTGATCAGGTCTTGGTTTCATGTGATTACTGGTATTATTAAATTAATAATTTGGCAACAACTTCATTTACTATCTCTTAACTTAGAGGCAAAGTGGGATTTATTTTAAACTCATGCATTTACTTTATAGCCAAGAAAGCTATCAACAAGAAGTAGGGCAAAATTCCAGAATGAAAAAGACAGTTATACTGGTATTACGCAGAGAAAAAAAATGACTCTTATTCAGAGACAGAAGGTTTATCTTAAAAAGTTATGTATTGTACCATGTACAGCCAGAGGAATGAGCAGTTGTGCTCCATTTGTGTACAATGTATAAAAATGCATTCTACTGTCATGTATAACTAATTAGAACAAATTAAAAATTTTTTTAAAAGTTACATGTTAATTTGAAATGTATCCATGTGTAGAAAAAAAGGACATCATATACTGATCTAGTTCCACTTATAAATTTTATAACACATCTGGCATACTTGGATAGCTAGCCTTACTTTTAGGAGATCTGGTACTATAATTTAGGCCTCCTCATTTCAGTTTGTTGATTCATTCATTTAAAAATATTTATTGATGCCTACTCTGCCAGACATAGAAGAAACAGTGGTAAGCAAGATGGACGTGTTTACTGCCCTATGGAGTTTACAATTTACTAGAGGAGATGATAATTAAATATTTTGATAATGAGTGATAAAGACTATGACAAGTTTTATAAGGGCCTATAACAAAGGCAGCTGATGTCTAGATGAGCAGAACAGCTTCTCTGAGGGACTGATATTCAATTTGTGATTATAGACATATTCATTCTGAGAACTATAACTTTGCAACTAATTGTAACCCCTTATCTGGTAGAAAATCATTCATTGGTCAAAGATTAAAACTCTTTGACATGCAACCACAAGCATTTAAGAAATAGGGCTAGGGATGTGGCTCAAGTGGTAACGCGCTCGCCTGGCATGTGTGCGGCCTGGGTTCGATCCTCAGCACCACATACAAACAAAGATGTTGTGTCCGCCAAGAACTAAAAAATAAATATTAAAAAATTCTCTCTCTCTCTCTTTTAAAAAAAAGGGGTTTAAGAAACAGCAAGATGTTACATTCCAAATGAATCCAGATGGCCCTCCCTGTCTCCTGGTATTCCATTCTCAGCTTCCTGTTATACTCTTATGCAACAAATATTATATTGTGAAGACAAACTGTACAGGTCTGTGTTGCTTCTTCTACTCTGACATTCCAAAGAAATTCAGGATAGGAAAGCTTAATCCTGTAGGATGGAGTCTACCCACAAACACTTGGGGTGAGGGGTCACAAGGCCTCCTGGATTTACAGAAAGTATTTCTCAGTGTAGGATAAGGCCAAAGACATCACAAAACTGCATTTGGAGAAAAAAGCATTGAGTACATACCCTAAAACACTGGATGTGAAAATAGAGATTGAGGGTCTCGATGATCATGGCTGCTCCTTTACCCAAAGGAAGCCCACAGGAAGAGCACAGCTTCTTCCCACTGATAGACCTAGATTTAAAAAAATGTGTAATAATAAGATCTTTGGTTTAGAATAGTTGGTCAAATACGTAAACATGTAACCTCATGCGAAAATGGAAAACGTGGATTTTAAAAAAATGTTTATATCATGAATGAAATGAAAATTACCAACTTGACAATAAACAGAAAATTAAGCATTAAATATAAATTGCACACAACTACTAGACTGAGTAGAGTCCTCCATGGTGGTACTGAATCTGTGTGTGTGTGTGTGTGTGTGTGTGTGTGTATGTGTAAGTTATTTGTTCCAAGAATTCTGTGTAGTAGTCTATTCAAACGCCTTGGAATGATTCAATATGTTTATCATATGTTTTCATAAGCCCCCAAAGAAAATCAAGTTTAGCTGTGCTAAGGTCTCAATGTTGCTTTAAAATTTTTTCATAAATAGGTTTCTTGGCCCACTACGGCATTTTTCTTTACTTAAGGGAAGAAATGTTTAAAAACAGTCAATTGTAATATAGCAGAAAAGGGACCAGGCAGAGGGCCCGAGGTACTGGATCTGTTCTCTGCTCTGTCATCAAGTTCTGTGATCTGCTGTAAAGAACTCACTATAGATTTCCCTTCCCCCTACAGAATGAGAGGGTTGGTCTAGATTATTTCTGCCTTGTCTTCCAGGGCAGACACTGTGAGTCTGTGATCCAGGCTCTTGCCTTCTCTTCTTGAGGGCAGGGCAGTACCTACCTTCTCCCTGTACCCCTGCAGCACAGGGCCTAGCAATGGGCTAGAGTCCCATTCAGTAGAACAACACCAGGTGAGGTCCTGGGCAGCACCCATCTGAAACTAGTTGGCCAGATGCAGCCTTCCTACAGCTAAGACCAGATCGCAGTGATGCCCACTGTTGGAAAAGCACTGGGGACTGAACTCAGGGCCAGGGCCTTGGGCAGGCCAGGCCAAGTTCTACCAAGGAGCTACACCCCTAGCCCTAATGCAATATCATTTGGAAGCTAACAAGGTACAGAGGGACAGGGGAAACAGAAAGGAAGAGCACAGAAAAGAGAAAGAGTTTTATTAGTATTTCTCTCTTATCCGGTAGTTAAATGAATTTCTACATCAATGAGAATCTCTGGGTACTGACTAATATACGTAGTCTCTCCGTGAATGGAACAGACAACTTTTAAAAATGTCATGGGGCCCAATTAATGCGGAAGCAATCATTAGAGGGCTCGAGAGGTTAAAAGAATGGCGTTTCCTTTCCCAGCCTCCACCTGGTTCTCTGTCAGAGTGTCAGTGGATCCTGACTGGAAGGGGCGTGTGTCTTGCAGGGAAAGGCACCAGCAGAGGAGCCCAGTGACTGTCTGGTGGATTTTATTATTAGATTGCAGGTTCCACACAATGATATCAAAGCCCTGTGGCCACCACCATAACCAGTGCCACATACTTGACGTGGGCTGTGGTGGGCTGATGAGTCTGCAGGCAGATGTGTGTGTCGGAGGAGATGTGGGGGAGCAATGCCTCAAAAGCACTTGGCAAGGACTTATTTGGCTGAAATGCTGCTTGGCAAGCTCTAGACCCAACAAAGCAGCCTCAGAGAGGCTTTCTGACCTCTTATACCTGTTTGGTGACTGGCCAGGAGGGGTGGGAGAACAGGGGGACAAAGGCCCAGCCTGGAAGTACTCTCGTGGGCTTTTCCTGTAACATGGTAAAGGAGACAAGAAAAGAGAGGCCCAAACCCATAAGAAAAGACATTTTATATTTCAAAAAAACAAACAAAAAAAACCTTCCTTGATAACCAAATCAGAGACCTTGGTCTTCTAGTGGTCATTAAAAAAAAAAAAAAGAAAGAAAGAAAGAAAAAATAAAAAACCAACAAAACAAAACCAAAACCACCCCCCTCCCCCCAAAAAAACCCCAAAACCCAGAAATAGTAATTCTGCCTCACAAGGATTGTCCATGCATTTGCTACTTAAAATCAAAACCAGGATGGAATGCTGGCATTTTTAGTTAAAATCTTCTTTGGTCGAGTTTTTCAATTTATTCATTGAACTGCTTTAGAACACTGAGTAAGATATAAAATATGGACTTAGTGGGCGGGTCAAGGTAAGCAGGGCACTGGGGAAACTCATTAGGAGAGGCCAGAAATAAGGGCAGACCTTAAAGGAGCTCTTTTTCAGTGAGGGGTTTCCACCTTGAATGCGTTCCTGAAGGGTGATGTTTACAGGACTTTACAGCCACCAGGAATGCCACAGGTAGTGGTGGATCTTCCCGCCCCAGCAGGGTTGCACAGAGAAACCCTGCTTGTGACTCACCTCCCCTGGCTTTTAGAAGTTAATTTCATTTAGATTAGTAAATTAAGGAAAGGGGGCACAACAGAGAGAAGAACAAGGAAAAGGAAAATACCAAGGTAAAAGCAGACAGAGCAAGACCGTCTGTCTCCTGGCTGCTTTCAGCATCATTCCCTAAGCTCAGGGCCACCCTAACCTCCTTCCTCAGGCAGCTTGTCTTCTGCAAAATGTCACACTCTCATGCCTGCTAGGAAGGCACTCCACCTCTGGCCTATAATGCCACCCCAAAATACAGTTCTTACAAAATTAAAATGTAGTCCAGGGGCTGGGGTTGTGGCTCAGTGGTAGAGTGCTGGCCTCGCATGCACGAGGTACTGGGTTCGATCCTCAGCACCATGTAAATGTAAAATAAAGATACTGTGCCCACCTAAAACTTAAGAATAAATATTTAAAAAATAAAATGTAATCCAAGGCAGCTATCTTAATGAGTGAGCCTAACAATTACAGCATAATATTTTTTCCTTGAAATGATATTTGTCTATACACTCTGAGATAATTTAACTCAAAATAAATAACTAATGTAATAGAACTGCAAATTCTATCCAATATTTAGATTTCTGGGTTAAGAGTATAACTTTACCTTTTGTATATTGATGTATTCAGAGTAAATATTTACTTGTCAGGAAGGCTGTCTCAAACTTTCATAAATATTTTTGACCTTGTCTATGAGATTAAATTGAGAAAAAGCACAGAAGTGCTGCTGACATCTTGCCCTCTCACAGTTGCAATTTTTCTGCTTCTAAGTCAACACATTTTTTTAAAAAAGGAATTCCACATCCATCTTATTTGGTTACTCACTTTCGCCTTTCACTCGGAGACTCCATCTGATGGTTAATGTTTCTATCCAATGGGAGGGTTTTTGGCTTCACTTCTTCTGACATGTGCATTGGTGTGTTTGATACCTGTTGATTCTGGGATGGATCTAAGGCCAAGTAAAGAACATAAATTCTGCTCAGTAAAATCACCATATTGCCTAATAAGTCACTTGCTTTACAGGGCTAATGCCTGCTGAGGTCTCGCAGCAATTTCACAGAGGCTTTGGGCACACAGGCGAGGGAGGCCCGGGTATCCATGGCACTGTGAATTAATTGTGGAAGGAAAAGAGATCTGGAGCCAGGGCCTTTTACCTCATTAATTTTTGATGTAATAACAAGAATACTTAAAACATTTACTTCTTATGCATCAAAGGAAGCAAATTTGGGTGGCTGTAATTATAACCTGGAATGGAACTTCTATAAAGGTAACACCCATTGCTTTCTCTGATCCATGGATCACACCAACTGTAATGTGGTTTAAACCCATAAGGCACCTTAATTAAGGCATCCAGCTTCCTCAGTATCTCTATGTGGGAACATAAGTCGATGCTTATGAATGATTGCCAAACAATGTAAACATATGAGTAGACCATACCCTAGAAAACACAAGGCAAATTCATTCATTCCACTTTTAAAAATGTATCTTTGCTTAGCAAATTTGCTTTGGTTATAAACACATTCATATGGTCACCCTTTCATCCTTACCCTTCCTCTTACATAATCCCTCTGTCTCTAAACTAAGTCAAGAAGTGTCTGCCAGCAGCAGACATTCTCAAAGTTTCCTTAGTGGTTAAAAAAAACCAAACAAACAGATAAGCTAAAAACCCACACAAACACAAAATTCAAATTCAAAAGAGTGATCAAGATGCAGAAACCTTGAAGCATTCATAGATTTGACATTTAAGTTTCAGTCCTCTAGGGATAACCCTGAAGATCTGTGGCATGGGGAAACTGATCGTTTTGGTGAGGAATGAATGTGACTTTTATTCAGTGGTGGGTCTGGTGTGTGGGGGACTCAGGTGAGAATGACCGTGGCTTCTGGAGGGAGCTAGTGGATCCTTCTCAACCTTTCAGCACCTGCATTTCAACTCAGCTTTGTGGATTCTCCACTTCTGTAAGCACTTTATGGGGAGATTATATCCACTGGGGTGGAATGGGGAAATTTGAAAATGTCTTAAAATGCATTGCTTATGAAGGTCAACGGTTTTCTGTATAGTTTTTTTTTTTTTTTTTAAAGTGCCAAAACCTGCTCAGGTCTTACTGGTCCCCAGTGATACTATATGGAGCCTGGGGATGTGGCGTGGGAATTTATTAATTATATATTTAGCATAAGGTAGAAGACCAGGCTCTTAGAGAGAGAAGCTTGCAGTCAGCAGAAGTTATATTTGTCTGGACAATGTAAAGAGTCTTACAATAATTTAAATATTGAGGTTAATCTTCTCCATTCTTACCCTGAGCTAGCTGTGGGTTCACCCCACAGGGTGGGGCTCCAGCCTCTGTATCCAGCTGATCTTCATGGATTCCTCTTGATATGGGATTCTCAGAGTCAGCCAAGGGTCCTTGAGTTAGGCTGTTAAAATAAAGAAACATTATTTGGAACAAGGAAAAAAGCAACTGGATTGAATTTACTTACCTATCCATTAAAGCATAGAAGTACTAATTACAAATTGAAAAAAGACATGAGACTGCTTATATGTACTTTTTACTTTAAACTAGATTGAAAATATCAAAATATTATGCATTTGAACCATCCATCAATCTAACAAGCTCTAGAACTGATCATTTCTGATGCTGGAAAAGGATGTCCAACAAATTTTGCATTCTAATCATTTCAAGGGCTGCAGGAGCTAACTGGAATCTCCCAGATTTTCACAAAGGGAAGAGATCATTTGGGCCACATGGGACCTTTGCAGCCCTAGGTAGTTCACTGGCCTTTCAGTAACTTCTGTGTGCAAGGAAAGGAGATACAAAGGAGAAAAGGGGGTAGTTTCTAGTGACAAGGGCAGTGTGGGTAACTAGCAAAATTCATTTTAAAAGCCTGTCTGCAGAACCAGGGAAAATGCACATAAAATGCTTTTTGGCGTCATTTAAGTCTTCCTGACTAGTAATTTTCATTTCATAAAATGAGAAGCCCTTTAAACAGCATCAACTGGAAACAGATGTGTTTATCCAAAGACAATGCAGTCTCTGGACATAGGCTTTTAGCTCTTAAAGCTTATAGTTCACTGGGTCTTCTAGCTGAAAAGCACAGGGAAATTCTGAGGGTAAAACCCCACCAGAGGAGTTCTGCTCCCAGGTGACCTTTCGAATTGGCCAGTCTTTGAAATGACACTTAGATAGCCTTTCATGTCTTTGGGTCTCTCTGTATGCTAAACTTGTGTGCAGATACGTGCACTCTTGCTGATACGTATCTGGTATCTCAGGCCCTAGAGATAAACATGTGTCTCATAGAGAATATGCTGGTGGCACAGTACTGCCCACTTCCTGGGCTTTTTTGCAGCTTTCTTCTTGGTTAGATGGGGGTGGAATCAATGAACCCATCACAGCCCACCACTACACCAGAGTCTACTCCAGTCTGAGCACTCTGATGGCCCCACGGTTTCTGGCTTCCTTTTCTGACCTATAGAACATGCTGGAGCCCACAGTGAGGCAGTTATGCATAACCAACTGATTAGCTGATTATCCTTACTATTATCACCCAAAGCAAACATGGCTTCTTAGGGTGAGGGCATACCAACAACCAAGTTTAGGTCCACAGTGGAAGCCTCATTTCAACCTCTGTCCCTCCAGACACATTTACCCACTTCAGGTGACTGATACTTAGGTTTGGGGCTTTGAATTGATAATAAACTTCTTTGGTGATTTAAACTGCTTCCCCTTATTTAAAAAAAGGTTGTGCTTATTTTAAAATAAGGCTATTTATATTCAAGAGCATAAGGACACTGACTTCAGAGCTATTATACATATTGTACATGGTCAAGCAATATGTAATGCATTACTGGAATGATCACTTCAAGGCTGAATATGATTTGCATTAGCAATGGTTACCCTTCTTGGGGGTGAACAAGCAATCCCACCTTGTGAATTTCCATGGAGATCCTGGGAGGGGCTCATACCTGTCCTTCTCCTCCAGTGGATTGCTTTCCCTAGTCTTAAGCAATAAGTCACTGTCATTCCCCGGGAATGCTTTCTTCTGTCTTATCTCTTTTTCTTCGTCTTGACAGTTTGCCAAAGCCATCTTATTCTAAGGGGAAAAACAAGGACAAACTTAAATATAATTTTTAAATGCACAAGAAGACATTTATCTCTGGCCATGGGATATCTGAAGCATTTTCTTTCTGAGACACAAAAATTTAATTTCTTTACCTTCAATTTCTTATTAACATGTATTAAATGTTCAAACTAATGGGATTCATGCTGCTGTTTCCACATATGTAAACAGTGTGCATTGATCCTATCCATCTACCCTTCTTCCCTCCCTCTCCCCTATGAAGGATTTAACCACATTGCCTACAGTTTAAAGAACAGTCATTTAAACTAGATGATTGTAGTGATTTCTAACAATTTACAATAAATGTACAATCTGGATTTCTCTCAAGTATTATTATCATAAAGTGGAATTGGTTAAGAATCCTCGCCTCTGGCTTTGAAATAAAGTCACAGGACTGTTTATTTCAGGACAAATGTCTTTCTGGTATCCAGGGGGATATTCTATCCTATGCAGATTATGGACCAGGCAGGTTTTGGTATGACTTCTGTCCAGTACCTCCATGACCTTGCTGGAGGATGTGGAGGTAGCCTGGCCTTTCTAGGCTCTCTCCAGCCCTCCAAGACACATCAATTTCTTGTGGATTTTTTTTTTTTTTTTGCCATTAGAAGCAACTATTACAGAGGCCGGTGGAGAACAGATTGTGGGCATCTCTGCTGTGGAGAAACAATGCCAAGGAATGCATGGGGTGGCGAGAGGAGAAAATGCCTGTGGAAGGAGTGAGCAACGCAGAGCCAGGCGGTGAGGACGTTCCAGCACGTGGTGTCACTGCCAAGCTGTCTGGGTACATGTGGCCATTGCAACAGCTCTGTGTCTCCTCAGGGAGAGGGCAGGATGTGGCCCGGCAGTGGCAGGGCAGTAGGTGAAAGGGTGGTGCAGCCGCTGACATGATCCTAGGGGAACAGCCAGCCCTGGGTTTAAACTGTGGAGTTTGGTGGGGAAACTTGGCCTTGTGCTTTTATACTTCTACTTAAGTTTATTTATGTCACAAATTGCTCTTAATAAATGTCCTCACCACTGTCCCACTGCCTTCAGTGATGGAGGAGGAGGTAGACAGCTGGTCTGCAGAACTTGAAGAAATAGTGAACGGAACCACGGTGTCCTCAATTATCTTACGCTCCTGAGGGGAGTATAGGAATCAATGAAAGGGGGGAAATTAAAAAATACATATTTGTCAAGAGAAAAATTACACTAAGGAAACTTGAGGGGGGCAAAAACACATCAGGATATGTACAAACAAGCAAGGCATTAAAAAAATAAAAACCCTTATTTTCCAAAAGCATGCAAATCATATAACGTTTCTATGGGCAATAATTTAGAAATAAACATTGAATTTAGAAAACCAAAGTCTGAATGAGTATAATTAAATAGGCCCAGTTAAGAAGTGCTATTAGGGATCTGACTATCTAACAAAAAAAAAGTTGCGGTAATTTTAATCATAAACAAATTTTAAATAACATATATAAAATGTATCCACTTTCAAGTTCTCTGATGTGGTCTTGTTCATTCAGTTCAAAAAATCAATAAATAAAATGAAACAAAGTAGAACTCTTCTCTCTGTATCTCTTTAGTACCATATAATAAATGTAGTAATAAGAATATATTTATTTAGCCTCAATATCAAAATCATCCTAGAAAATTAATTCATTATGACCACACATGCCTGTTACAAACAAGCACATACACAATAAATGAATTGATTTTTTTTTTCACATCATCTCTCTAAGCCTGATCAAGAATCAGACTCTAATAGGTGATCAGATGTAACTACTTCATCTCCTTGACTGTGGCTCAACACACCCTTACCGTATTTGGGGTACTGTTATCTTTTAGAGCCTATATGACTTTTTTTTTTTGAACTGGGGACCTAACTTAGGGGTGCCTTAGCACTGAGCCACATCCCCATCCCTTTTTATTTTTTATTTTGAGACAGGGTCTCACTAAGTTTCTTAGAGCTTTACTAAGTTCCTGAGGCTGGTCTCCCACTTGTGATCCTTCTGCCTTAGCCTCCCAAGTCACTGGGATTACAGGTACGTGCCACTATGACTCTTTTAAAGAGGCTGGTAGATTCTGCTGAGAGTACAGACAGCCAGACACAGCCACATGCATACACATGCCACAGACTCAAAAGGTGGTGACACACTTTGAGGAACTGGGATGACAAGGTCAAACTCCTTCTTGGGAATTTCCTACCTCCTCATAGTATCTGCGTTCTTCCTCTTCCACCTCCTTTTGGGCCTTTTCCCACTCTTCCTTCAGCTTGTCCTGTTCCTTCTGGTATCTCTCCTGTTATGGGATGTCCATAGATCGTTTGGAACTGACCACTGCATACATCTCTGGGATTTTTTTCTTCCTCTACATCACCATGTATAATATGTTGCGAGAGGACCTTTTTCGGGGTAATATTCTGAGCCTAATTGATTCACACCATAAAAGGGAAATACTACTTTGTGCCACTGGAACACTTTAGGAACATAAAAACCCAATAGAGAGCAGTTGTTTTCTGCTGTTGTGTTTTGTAGAATTACTCTAGAGAGTGATAAGAAGTTTGCTTGTGGAAAGAGAAAAGATGGAATAATGGAAAGTTCCCACAATCTTCCCGAGCTTGGGTTTTGTCATAAATCAACAGTTTGCTTCAACTGGGCCTTGCAGGGATGAGTGTTGCCAGGGATGAGTGTTGGCTGGGGACGTAGCTCAGTGGTACAGCACCTGCCCAGCAAGCATGAGCCGCTGGGCTCCACCCCCAGCAGCAGGGGGCAGAGAGAGACAGACAGACACTGGAGTTCCTGAGAGCTCACTAGAAGGAATGAATAAATGGAGATTAGAAATAATGCTTGAAATGAGAACTGACACCTGGATGTCTTAGGGACGGCATCCTGACATGACAGAGACAAAGGAATCATTGATGTGTGCTGCACAGACTCCAATTATTTTAGGCTGATGATTGTCAGTCCTCTCTCTGAGGCTAAAGCAAATTTGCACTTTGCCTTCCAGGAAGGCACTGGGATGTTTTCCAGGTATTACCCGTTAGGTCACTATCTTAGGAGCAAAAGGACTTCGTTGGAATGTCCAGAGAATGGCATTCTTACTGATGCTCCAGGAAAACCACTGTTGGTCAGCCCATGGTGGACTCTTAAACTCCAGGTAAAAACTTATTATCAAAACTGAATATTGTATTGTAGAGGTTAAGAGAGAACTTTGAGGAGCTTTTCAGAACACAGGAGACCCAAATCTATATAACAGCTGAAAACCAAGCAAAGCTTCTTATAGGCGTATCAGTTCCAGGAACCTCCTCATGAGCTTCACTCACCAGGAAGATGCAGGCAGTGAAAGATGCATTTCCTGTGTGACACACCCACACACACAACCACACCATACATATACTACACCACACACAAAACACACAACACACAATGCAAACATAGCGCACACACACACACACACACACACACCTTGCTTCCCTGCTTTCCTTCATAAACACCTTGGCTCACAACCCAAGATGCCACACCAGGTAACCATTTTTTTGTGGGACAAGGAGCCATGCCCAAGCCTGGTGCCTGCATCTATGAGCATGGCCACCCTTCAGAGTGTGACAGACCGAGGGCCAGGATGGGACACAGATGCCCCTGTCTTCTTTTCTCTGTGGAACTGTGACTCCTGATTGTCTGGGGAAGAAGCAGCTGATTTCCAAGATAACAGCAGATGGCTTGCCCTGATGTGAGGTCTTCCCAAGGGTCCTAAAAGTCCCAACCACTCTGGGATTTTGATGAATCAGGTTCTTTCTGATATTTTGGTATTGAAGGTCTAAGCCTCTGCAATTTTCAAAAATGCCAAATTTAACTTGCAGAGCTAATGCACACTAAAATTGACTAAATATCTAACTCTCTACCCCCGGCTCTAGAAGTTAGGCCAAAAGAAGTAAAACAACAGAAAAAAAAAGATAAAAAAGAAAAATTTTAAAAGTAAGTAAAATAAACTTGTATTAAGCATACAGCAGAAGAAAGTCATCAAACTTAATGAGATTTAACATTCTTTTCCTTTAGAACTTTTTGGTAGCCTCAGCTCTACTAGGAGTGTAGTGGAAAAAGCATATGTTTTAAAGTCATATAGACTTGGAATTGAATCCAGGCTCAACACCAGTTAGTTGTGTGACCTTGGACAAGTAATTTAATTGATACGAGTTTAGTTTCTTCAGTTTCAAATAGGGGCTAATGAGACACACTCTGAAGGGCTATGTGAGGATTACATGAGATAAAAGTCACCACCAACCACAGATTCTGACACATCCCAAGTATTCAACATAGGTTAGTTTCTAGGGTTACCAGGGTACTCTTGGAAGCCCTACTAATCCACGAAGCAGGCATGAAGCCAGTGGGCACATGATAAATGTACTCCCAGAATTCTTCTAGAATCGATAATTAGCAGCTTTTACTCAAAGGTGAGTAAACATTTCTGCTTGAGGAACTAGACTGAAGCTGAATTTTACTCCACCTGTATGCTAACAAATAGCTTTTGGATAATTCATCTCACTGTTACTTGAACTGGAAATTAGTACCTAAGGAGGTGACGAATGGGTAGACAGAGCCTTAATCAATACATGGGGGGTTTTCAAGTATTAACACGAATGGTTTCTCCTGTTCATCACTGTACCTCTGGCAGAGAGAGAGTTAGATACAGGATGCTGTGGCCTGGATATGAAATGAATAGACTTAGACTCACCAACTTAGGAGAAGAATTGGCTGCTATCCGTTTCCTGTGCTAACAATAGATTTAATGCAACAGAAATAAAGAAAGCATCATCTAAGGAAGGGCAAGGGAGGGGCAGCAGCAAACCCAGTCCTACCTGGAGCAAACGTTCCTGCTCTTGCTGCCACTTTTCCTGTCGCCTGCGCTCCTCTTCTGGGTCCCACGCCCAGAACTTAAACTGCTCAGAGAAATAAAACCACGATCAGAATTGAGTTCTGTTGTCAAGGACAGGCCAGGACAAGAGAAGACCATTTGGGGCTGGGGATGTGGCTCAAGCAGTAGCACGCTCGTCTGGCATGCGTGCGGCCCGGGTTCGATCCTCAGCACCACATACAAACAAAGATGTTGTGTCCGCCGAAAAAAAAACTAAAAATAAATAAATAAATTCTCTCTCTCTCTCTCTCTCTCTCTCTCTCTCTCTCCTCTCTCCCTCTCCTCTCTCTTTAAAAAAAAAAAAAAGAGAGAAGACCATTTGCCTCCAGCCTGTCACCTAATGTAGATATACAAGCTCAAACCTTCCTCTATCTAAATGTGCTTTTTGGTGGTGGACACCAGTGTTGAATATTACTCTCTTCAATTCATTTCCAAGATGCTGGTGTGATCTGTGAGGCTTTGAGAACTAGTAAAAACACAAAGTAGCTATGGGGTCAGGGAGGCTTTGCTTCATTTCTTTTATAAGTGATATCTTAATTGCATTCACACTCTTAAGCACAAGATGATCTACATACTTATCCTAGATCCAAGCCAATGGGACCAATTATTTCAGCAGAAATGAATTTTGAATGAACAAGTGTCGGCTGTACTATATAGCTAATGCTTTCTATTGCAATTGCTTTTCCATACCAGCTTTCCCTAAAGTGGGTTATTTAACTCACCAATGACCACCTATGGATCTAGGTAAGGGGAAACCCCTGACCTGGGGCTGGTAAAACACTCAAACCCAAAGACTTAAAAAACCTTAGCAGAAGGTTTTTGCAAGTTTAGGAATCAACTGAACGAACTGGAACACAGCTAGTCCTCAGAACCCATGGGTTTAACCAATCACAGAAAGATTTCAAAAGGGAGTAGGTGTAACTCAGTGGTAGAGGGCTTGTCTAATGTGTGTAGGATCCTGGGTTCCATTCCCAGCATTTCAGAAAAAGAAAAAAAGAAATATTTTTTTAAGTTGCACTAAAAATATACAGACCTTTTCCCATTATTATTCCCTAAACAAATGAATTAACGACTAGTTACCTAGCATTTACATTATATTAGGTATTATAAATAATCTAGAGAAGATTGAAAGTATATGGGAAGATATGTAAGGGGTTATGTGCAAATGATGTGCTGTTTTATCTAAGGGACTTGACCATCTAAGAATTTGTGTATTTGACCAAGTCTTGGAACCAATCCCCTGTGGACACTGAGGGATGACTGTAGTTAGAGAAGGGGGCATAGAACAAAGCAGGTACCTGTGCCATGGAATATGGGAGTGGGAGGGTTCAGGGATGGAAGGGAGAGAAATCACAGCCTGCCTCTAGGAAATCAGCAAAAGATGGGCTCCTTTATTTAAAGTCCAGCTTTAAATGAAGGCACCAGAGTAGGTGCCAGGCAGACCAAGCTCATCAATAACTACATTCTTCTCTTTCCTCTGTTCTGATGGAATGGTTTTGGGAGGCACTTAGAACTCCCTGGGGATCCTGAATGGCAAAAGAGAGTGAGGGTGAGGGAGTTAGGGAGGGATGGGAGAGGCCTAACGGGGCAGGGTGGGGAGCAAGCTGAATCTACCTTCTCCCAGCAGCTGGGAAGCTGGCCAGGGTCAGTCCTGTCTAAGGGTTTGACAGGTTCAATTACTGCCCAGGATACCAGGGCCAACCCACTTGCACCCTGTCCTATCCCCAAAAGAGGTGTATCACCACGCAGGTGTATGATGGCCAGTCAGCCCAGGGAAGCATCTCAGGCCATCATCACTTTAGTATATTTAGATAGATGAGACAGATGAAATGAGGGTCTCATTTTGTACTCTTCGTGTGATTCTCACAAATAGTGGGGATGACCATGATGTTCATAGAATAGTAAAGAAAGATAGGCCTATAAGATAGGGAAATGTACTTCCTATTTTCTACTCTCGGGGTTCATACTACACATATGCATACCATAGGTTATAGCAAGGTATGCAGGGGTACTTAATTGTATATAAACTAAAGTTTCCCAAATGTCCTCAAATGACCATTAAATGTCATCCTAGTCTATATGTGTAATAAGAATTGTAATGCATTCTGTTATCATATATAAATAAAAAAATGTCATTCTAGTGTGAATCCCCATGGGAAATTGTACTGGATTTTAATGTTGCTGGGTCCTGGTATTCCCCTAGGACTTGGAGGCAGTTGAAATGTCCAGAAGTTGGGTTTGGCCCTTCACTGTGGAGAAGTCAGATGTTTATGTGACTAAAGACATAGGGGACCAGTGAGGAAAGTCCAAAAGAAGAAAAAATGAAAGAATCCATTAGGAATTATTTAAATCTCAGATTAATGCTATGTGGTAATCTCAAGAGTAAGTCACACAGCGGTAGAAAGATGGAATGTGGGGTGCGGATTCAGCTCAGAAAGCACTGCACATTGGTTAAAAAACAAAAGAGAGAAAACATTTGAGGAGGAAGATGAGGAGGAAGACACCAGTGGAATAAACAAGAGGGGAGAAAAGTGATCTTCCTCTTTTGGTGGTTATTTGCTGAATACTTACTGCAGCCTGGGGTTGGGGGTGGGCTGTCCCACTAAGAGGCCCAGCCTGCAGAGCTCATAACTGAGTGCACAGAATGATCATCAGAAGAGAGTGTAACACCCGTCTCAAGGAGAGGTGAGAGGTGCTAGAGGAAGTCAGATTGGAGATCACTGAGCCCACTTGGCCCTACAATTTATTTGTTCATAGGTCTGTATCCCCCTCCAAGGCAGGGTTGCCTCTTTTCCCTTTAAGAATCCCAAAGCCTGGTGTTTTAGGCCCTCAATAATTATGTTTTTTTGAATAAGTGAATGCAAGCACTTCATGGGGGTGATGGGATCCTGCCTTCACAGGACGTGGGGCCTCCAGTGCTACTCGGGCCCACTGAAGACAGCGTGAGTCTGCTGAGGTCAGCATCCTCTCACGCTTAGTTCCTCCTCAGGCTTTCCTTATTTCCAGGTTTCTTATACTTTCCTATCCTATGGGGAGCCAGTTACTCTTGAAAGAACATCATGCTTAAGGGGTGGTATTGTTAGAGAATTTACTTAAATAGGTCAGTAATTTTTCTTTTCCTTGTTCTATTTTCTATAAGCCAGAAATGAGACTGTATCTCTTTGGAGTGACTCTTCACTCCACTCCTGCCCCGGGGGCAAGTGAACAATTGAACATCCTTGCTCTGAATGCAGTTTAAAATGGAAACAAGCGGGCATGTCCCACTCTTCGGATCTGTACCATGAACACCAGCTTTGGGATACTTCTGGGGTTCCCATCCATCACAGGTGGACTCAGCTTTCCCGGAAGTTTGGGATTACCAGTATTGTCTGGTACCTGAGTCTCCACAAATGGTCTGAAAGTCTGGATTATGGCAGGAAAGATTGAGGGTTATATGACAAATTAGGGGCCCCCTTCTCCACTCTGCTTAGGCACTTAGGAAGTAAGACAATCTGCCTCTAGGTAAGAATTGGTATTGGCTATAGCCTGTCTCTTGGACTAGCCACTGGGGAGGGAAGATAAGCTAAGAGGCACTGTACTATACAGGCTTTTCAACTAAGGCTCACAACAACCATGAAAGACAGCTATTCTTACCTCATTGCACAATCAAGGAAGATGAGGTACAGGGAACTCATGTGATATTTTTAGGATCACATGGCTAACAAATTTGGAATCTAAGGTATAACAGTGATTACACGGCTACCCTTAGGTGACTCCGAGGCAATGCTACAGGACATCTCCAGGTGGATGGGCATTTCAGAGGCTGAAGGAGGATGATAGGCAAAGTGCTGGAAACACCAGTTCAGTTTTCAGATAAAATTCAGAAGTAAGGAATCAGATGTCATGTGTCTTGACGTTTTCATTAGCAAATGCTTTCTTATTGAAATAAAAAACAAAAAACAATAGGTACAAGTGAAATAATTCAAGATCCTGATATAGAGAAGGGGAATGAGTCAAGGCATTGGTGGACTCCCCCAAGGAAGCCCAGGCTGGGTCCTCTCTGTCAGCAATATGCTACAATGAAGTACTGTCCTTATTTTGGAAATGAGTTTCAATGTCTATAGAAATTCTCTATTTTAGTACTAAGTTCTGTTATCACACTAATTTTAAGTGCTACTTTAGACTTCCATTCCTGGCTTATCATTTTGTTTCCAGGCATGGTATCAATTTCACATAATGATAATCCATGTCTTCATAATTTACCTGATAGTATTATCCATGACTTTAAGTTGTTCTTTTAAAATAAATTGTTTGGGTTTTATTTTTGGTTGAATACTTTTTTTGGGGGGTGGTGGTACTGGGGATTAAACCCAGGGGTGCTCTACCCTTGAGCCATATTCCCAGTCCTTATTATTTTTTATTTTGAGAAAAGTCTTGCTGAGTTGCTGAGACTAGCCTTGAACTTGTGATCCTCCTGCTTCAGCCTCCCAAGAAGCTGGGACTACAGGAGTGTACCACCATGCCCAGCTGGTTGAATATTGTTTTAAAAAGTGCTGTAAATTAAAATCACACGAATGATCTTGCTCTTTCAAGTGGGTTACTTACCGGTGTAGTTACAGGTGACTTTTCACTGCTTGGAGAATCTACTGCACAGAATGAAAGAAAGAAAGAAAAGATAATGATATGAGTTATTCCTAATTGCCTTTCTTTCGGATCCTCTTAAAGTACTGTGTAGTTCCTATGTCAGCTTGAAAACTAATTCAAGAGCATTAGAAAATCAAAATAAAGCAGACCTCTAAACCCTGAAGCAGGTTGTACCCATCACCAAAAGAAGTAGAAGTTTTCAGGGTAAAATGATCGACCACATCAATTAGCACCAGGTACTAGACTAGGAAGCAAAAACTATCCCTCTTAGTGCTGGTTCTCAATATACCTTGCATTCTGGCTTAACTGAGCAATCCTTCCCTGTCTAGATGGAGAAGGATACAGAGAGGCCAGATGTCATTCAGGAAGGAAAGAGAGTGACACAGTTAACAAGAGAACCATTACCAGTTTCTGGTTCTAATCTTTGTTTTAAAAAAGGTGGGACTGGACAATAAAGAAAGTGGTGGATAATAACGTTTCTTTGGATTCTCTAAAATTGACATGAAATTCTACGGATTTCCTTTCAATTTCAGTGTAACTGGTATTGCTAACATAGAGCTAGCTCTTTGCTAACTGTGTGTCAGAAACAAGCATTTTTTCCCTGAAATCAGAAATGAAGACAAATGCCAGAGACATCATTGGTTGCCCCAACATGGATTTGTGCACAAAAGAAATGCAGCTACCCAGTATGCAGTTTACCTGACCGGGAGAAAAACTGGGAACGTCGCCAAGAGTTCTGAACTCTAAGCGGAACACTGGCAGTGCCAGGCGACTCTAGATCAGATGGCAGAACAGAACAGAAAACCATGAAACCAGTGAGAGCTGAATAGGACTATGTCCCACTAGCAAAGAAGGCTTGATTATAGTCGACATGGGAATTGGGAGCCAGTGAACCCGAAGTGCAAAATGTTGTACAAAAAACACAGTTAAAAAGTCTGAAGACAACAACAAACAAAAGTCAGTAGAACTGGCACAGTTTATGCACTTTTGTCTATCTTTGTGGGGTTAGGTGAAATTTTTTTTAGGCTTATACTAAACAATGATATTGTTTAAACTTTACCTCTCAAAATGGTAAAACGATATGCTAGGCAGGAGAAAAATGCACAGTGGACATTACTTTGGGAGAACACTAGGAAAGTACAAAGGCAGCAGAGACAGGGGGTTTAATTTCTTTATACACATGATGCTTTATGAAGGTCTTGTGTGCAATTCTGTGGCAGATTAAAAAAGGAAGTGTCTAGGTCTGTACATGGTGCAACAAGTGCACAGAGTTCCTGGCAAGTGATCATATCCTTACACTCCAGTTTTTGAAGCATGCGCCTATTTTACTGAAACACGATTTTGACATATCTTTCTGCTGGTGTGTGAGAGTTGAGAAAAGGATACTGGTCACCTTTAAATGTCTTCTTTAAAAGTTTTCATAGCATTTAAAGACTAAATTGATGTGTATGTGTGTGTGTGTTGGGGAAACCTGTGGAACATCAATTAGGGTTGACTTTTGGATCTTTAGTGGCCATATGATCAGTTCATAAACAGATGACTTTAAAGAAATATGGGTGATATCACTCTCTGGGGGCAATATTATTTCTGAGAGTATTTATTAGGTGTGGCTTCGGGAATCCTGATCCTGACCTTATGGTTCTTTTGGACTTGATGTTTGATTTAAGACTAGTCACTAAATGTGTACTGACTTTTTTTTTCTTTTTTCTTTTTTTGTTTTTGGTAATGGGGATTGAACTCAGGGGCACTTAACCATATCCCCAGCCCCTTTTTTTTGTATTTTATTTAGAGACAGGTTCTCATTGAGTTGCTTAGTGTCTCATTAAGTTGCTGAAGCTAGCTTTGAACTTTTAATCCTCCTACCCCAGGTGCCCAAGCCACTAGGATTACAGGACTGGCTTGTACTGACTTTATATCTGGGCAGAGACCCATTATTTCCCCCCATTCCAAGCCCAATAAAAGATAAATCATGTCTTTTAAGGTTACATTTATTAAACGTCTTTTGCTCTCTTTAAGAATTTCATAAATGCCAAACAAGTATTACTGTTATTTTTGTAGCTATCAGTGATGTCTTTGAGGCACAATTTAAATAAATACTTCGATTCAGTGGTTTTTGGGGTGTGTTCCCCAGATCTCCACATCAGTATTACCTGGGAACTTGTAAGAAATGCAACTACTCTGGCTCCTGTCTAGACCTACAGACTCGTACCCTGTGATGGTGGGCCCTGTGCCTCACGGGGGCTGGGCACATACTCATGTTTGAGAACTCCTGCTTGAAGCCATGACTCTATGATGTAAACACTTTTTTTTTTATGGCGGGGCTGGGGTCGGGGTACTGGGGATTGAACTGAAGGGCACTCAACCATCGAGTCACATCCTCAGCCCTTTTTTGTATTTTATTTAGTGACAGGGTCTCACTGAGTTGCTTAGTGCCTCACTGTTGCTGACGTTGGCTTTAAACTCGGGATCCTCCTGCCTCAGCCTCCAGAGCTACCAGAATTACAGGCATGTGCCACCATGCCCCATGTGAACACTTTTCTTTTCAGGAAAGCATTCAGGAATAGTTTATTTCTGCTGGACATCTCGTTCTACACTTCTTCTCCTATTGCTACTATTCTGCAATCATTAGATTACCTTATCAGTGGTTATTCCAGGCTAGGTACTAAGCAAAATGCTTTTTACAAATTATCTCATGCAATGCTTCTGATATCCCTAAAGGCTGGTGTAATTATTATTTCTAATTTACAGGTGGCAATTAGACATTAGAGAGAACCCAATGGGTGTATAGGTAAGAACCAGATGAGCAGGAATTGGAACCCAGACATTCTATCGCCAGCCTCTGCAGCTACAATATAATTCTCTCTTGGAGTCTCTGCAGCTCCAAACATAATTCTCTTAAAGTTTCAAAATGTTCCAGTGCTACTAAATTTTATTTTTTTAATCATTCAAAATTGGCAAAGCATGAAGTAAAATCCCAATTCAATAGCACATTTCCCCAAATCAAAATGCCTTACAACAGGTAATGGAATATATAAATACATGACAATACAACTAATTAATATGGCTTAAAATATCTATTCCCACTCTATATTCCTTATCCACACAATTACAAGTGCTGGAAATAGGGCAGAATTAAAATCTGTCTAAATATAGCCAATTGCTGGCCCAGTTGTGAGCCTTGATTTTTTTCCAGTTCCCTTCAGGATTGTAGGCCTGACAATTTAAAGCAAATGATTTGAAGATAGTATTGAATTTACTTCCACATGAAGAGATGAATGACCATCAGTACATGTGCCAATTAATTCCCCACCAAATGTTCCCTGTTTTATATACAGGGTCCAAAAAAACTGTCAACAAAGACTAATGGGAGGCAATGCAGATTCCTGTCAATGGTGACCCCAAACAGCTGCCCATCCTTAAAAAGAGAAGTAATGATAAACCCCAGTCACAGTGAACCTGTACCATCCTTGTTGGCCTGAACTGATAAATCAAATCTAATACACATTGGGGAAAGCAAATTTTAAAAGAAACACAGGAATCTTATTGTCCTACCTCCCAAACGCTAGCCATTTCCACATCTAGAGAACCTGTATTGGTAAAGCCCAGTGATCTGTTTTGAAGAATAATCCCCATGGATGGTGGAACTCTCACGACCCATCCTTCACGGCTCATATTTGTAAGGGTCCTTCCTGGTGGCATGGGCACCTGAGTTTCTCATGAGGATAAACGGATTAAATTTGGATTCTTACAGAGCAAAGGGGTGAATTCATAACCCATATATGGCCTATAAGGTACTTGGCGGGGGTCAGTGTTATTTTAAGATCTTCCATAGTAATAGTAGGTGCTATTTAAGATCTTTGTAGGCCCTCACTCTTATTTTTAGAGGTCACCCCTTCTCCCATTATATTAAAATGTATCAAAAATATGCAGCACATTAAAATATATCCTCAGTATGTTCTCATATATACACTAAGAATTTTTTTTAATGTTTCATGTATTCTCTTACTATAAAATTGTTAAAAAGGTTAAAATTGTTGCCTACCAGTAACACATTTAATCTACATAGTGAATGCTTCCTCATCATGTACAAGCAGAAATTATTAATGGAGTAAAAAACCTGACTTTTAAACAAAATTACTGTCAAGTTAAATGAATATTCTATGAAGACTAAAATGAAGAATAAATTTGATGCAATATTAAGATCATAAACTTTTCAAAACATTTATTGATTTTTAAAAATTTTAATTGACTCTTTATGTTTTGGAGATAATGTAAGAAATTTTAAAGGTCTCAAACATTTGGATAGGCCCCACTGAACCCTATAATGCCTGATGTTGGTGACAGGGGTTCTCAGCTTGATCAAATAGGGAATGTGGCCTCAGTTTCCCATTCTGAAGTTATTTATTCAGCCATCGCAGACTCTGGCAAAATGTCTCCTGGATAAAGGGACATCACAATAAAGGGTGTAGTCATCTTTTAAAACAAAACATTTTACTACAGATGGGCCCAGCAGAATATGTAGATCTAAAATTAAAACATTTCCTTCTCTTTACCTTGGGAATTGAGATTTGGCAAATGTAGTTGGTTGGTTTCAGGCATTTTGTCCAGAAATGGAAACGTCAGGGTGGCTTCTGGTTCTGGAGATTTTGGCTTCAACACCTGGATCATGGAAAACAGATGTGTACATTATAAGCATTGTCCATTAATAAGTATACATGAAAGAAAGTTAAAGGATCCCTGCCTATTACATAAGTCAATAAGCTCAAATACTAATTTATTTTTATTTATTTTAAAATTTTTAGTTATACATGACTGAATGTTCTCTCTGATTTGTGGATGTTAACCCAAAACAGGGAGGTCAGGGAGGGGAACAATACAAATATATGGGATGAGGCTAAGGGGAATGAAGGGAAGGGAGGGGGGACGGGAATAGGAAAGACAGTAGAATTAATTGGTCATGACTTTCCTAGCCTTGTATTTATATATATGACCAGGGTAAATCCACATCATGCATGGCCACAAAAAGTGGGAACCTAATAGAACGAGTTATATTTTTTGTATGTATACTCTGCCAGAACACATTCTACTGTCAAACATTTAATTTTTAAATGGAAATTTTTTGCCCCTTCCCTAAAATCCTTTCATGCTTTTCTACATCAATATACACATCAAATTTTCAGAGAAATCAAATAAGAGCAAGAAATGTGATGATCATTTTCCTTCAAACCCAGAAGACAGTAGTCTGTCTAAACTATACATTACTCTCTCTCCTTTTCTTATTGGCAATCACATATTCTCCTTCTGGTCCCACACAATATTGAAATTATAATGTCAGGAAATGAGATGTATCACCTAAGATGCTCAGAAGAAAATCTTACTCCGTAAGTGCTAAACATTATAATAATATTACCTTTTAATGGACATTATTCTCAAGACACTATTCAAACAGCCACAAACTTATACAAAGCACATTAAAGACAATATACTTAAATACAATTTATAAAGCCCTGAAGTTAGGTTTTCATTTGCCATGGGTAAGTCGCTTATTTGCTTTTAAACCTATCAGCCTTCTAAATATTTTCTTCCTAATATTTACCTCAATTTTAGCAATAGTACTTTGGATGCCTCTGGATTTCAATAACAAGAAACTCGGGAGATTATTATTCTACTATAATAGCTTTTAAAGTTGTGTTCTTATTAAATTTCTTCCATGTTTGGAGTCTCATTTACATTAGTTTGGTTTGTTTTCAGACACTAAGTCTTCACCATTTACCCCAGTTATCTCAACCTTGGCTACTCTGGTAGTCTTAAAAACCACTAAACCTGGGCTGGGG